GTAAAATGGCAATGGGAAATGTCTCACACTAATCTCCCTGAATCTAGTTGGAGAGCAGCTCAGCTCAAGGACCTGCCCTAAGGCAGTGCTACTCACCTTGCAGCCCAATCGTCGAATTAAAAAATAGGAGGTTAATATAGGAACATTCTTTATTAAACGTTTCGACACTTATTGTGTGTCATCATTCAGTAATCTAGAAAAACTATTCTCCTTTTTTATAATTTTTTCAATTTTTATATTTTATAATAATATCAAATATAGTTATTTATGAAATATGTTTTTTTAGATTACTGAATGATGAGGCACATTTAGTGTAGGAACATTTGATAATGAATGATCATATATTAATTAAGTCCAATATATAATTAAGTCCAACTTTTTTCGTCAATTATCATTGCCTAATGTTCAATACTTATTTTCTGGATAAAACTATTGCTTCAATTTCCACATGGCAAATCTAATTTCCATATATAGAGATTCTTTTCATAACTCGTTTTTATAATTTGCTTGACTGAATTTCAAATAAGATTTGTTCAGAATAAGATTGATATTATGAAAAGGCTTAATTTTCAAAAAAAATCAAGGATTCTATTTGTCTAACAATACCTATTTTTTAATTTATCAAAATTCATGCAACGTCAAATTTCCATCTTCCAATCACACCTACCAATTTCATTAATCATGCTTTTTATGACTCCATCATAAGCTTTTTCTGTATTTCTATTATAATAATATTTTTTGATTACAATTTATTAAAGATTTGGAGAGGTTTTAATTTAGTGTATTCACTTAATGGATAAATTCCAAATGCACAATTTCTTTTATATTTTTACATCAACCCTTACTCTATTATTTTTGACGCTGCGGGATAAGCAAATCTAACCATGGAAATAAATAGAAAATAATTGGGTAAATATGTATTTTGTTCTCTATGAAAACTATTTGTTATTATAAATGATGGGTTGTGACATGTTGAAATAGCGGTTGATTGGCCTTTGGATTATGCATACCATTTGATATATTAAAATGAAAATTAATTGTATGTCATGTTATATATGTGGTTGATTACCATTTATTTAACGAGGTTTCATAACGTTTATTTGAAAAATTGTAATAAGGGTTTATGATTTTGACAGCAGTATGTATGTATATAGATACATAATTTAATTGCAAAATTAAAATTGAAAATTTGTTACACATACGCGTAGGTAACCACTTGTTACAAATTATTTTAATATTAAATAAATGAAATTGTCGTGATTGATTTGAACATGTTGTTCATTTGTTCAAGAGGTGTAACAAAATTATAACAACTATCACTGTAGTAAAATTTTGTACGTATTTGCATGCCGAACTTATATCATCATCATCATATATGGTTGCAGTTTTCGGAACTCTAACACGAGGTTGATTACGCGCCTGACGAAAGTTTTTTTCCATATCTTCTAATATAAGAGCTGCAATCCAACCAGATACCTAGGAAAAAAAATAAAAATATTGTATATAAAAGATTACTATAAATACTATAAACATAAATATCGCAGCAAAGATTTTTATAATCATGAATTATAATTACCACATCGACACGTGTGAATATTACATATTTTTCTGGGTCTCCTCGCGATATAATTCCGAACAAAACGTCATCATCACCACAAACTAGAGGACCTCCAAAATCACCATCGCATGCTGTCACCTATTTATAAAAATAACTATTATAATCAATTCATTTCAAATGCATTTTTCCTTGAAAATCAACATGACGTGCAGAATTTAATTATTACATTATAAGTAAGTTTTTGAGATTTATTTTGTATCTAATTCTAACTAAATGATTTTTAGTTGGAAACAGATCCACCGAAATCACTCTCATGCTTAGCAATTGAACATTTTTGGTATTACGGTCCAAAGTACTCTGACCTGAAACTGGCCTAGTTTTGGGTTGAGAGCACATTTGGCCTACCAAATTTCTAAACCTTGGTGCACGATGGTATCTTTTCAAAAGCGGTATTTGCAAATTCGATGAAACTTGACACACATTGTTATTATACTTCAAAAAGATTGTGACAAAAATTTTGGTGCATGCAGTAGTTTTCGAGATATGTGAGATTACTTAACAATTGAACATGTTCGGTATTGGCATTTACCGGCCAACGCACTCTGACCTGAAACTAGCCTGGTTTTAGGTTGAGAGCTTGTTTGGCCTACCGAACAGACGCACCATGGTATTTTCTCAAAAGCGGAATTAGCGAATTTGATTAAACCTGGCCCACATTGCTACTATACTTTACCAAGATTGTGACAAAAATTTTGAATTGGTTCAGACAATAGTTTTGAAGATACGTGAGATTGATGGGTTGCTGACTCCGCGCTCAATACTAAATATATAAACATATGGTCTCTTCTTAAAAGCGGAGTTTGCAAATTTAAATAAAATAACTATATTTTCATTAAAATCTGTTTATTTTACCTCGCTCTCCGGGATCTCTGCCACCAAAACACGTTCTCTGCTGGCTGGTTCTGACAGATGCAAACGCGCAATCTCGGCACGCGTCAGCAAAGTTACATTCGCCGCCTTTAGCAGACCATCGGAGTCTTCAGCGAATTTTAATCTGTTTCTATGATCCACGTTTCTTCTACGATATTCATCTTCATCATCTTCATCGTAATCCTCATCGTATTCATCGCGTTCGTCCATTTCACAACCGTAACCGATCTAGGTAATAGATTGATATTTGACATTCAAATAATCAAATATTCAGACCGTCGTAGACTAAGGGTTAATAATATAATCAACCAATTGATATTTTAGTTATAAAAAAATATTTTTCTTTAATATTACCATTACGCAAGTATCAAACAACTGAGCAATATCACCAGTAGGAGGAACTACACCATGAATCCAAGGCACGTTGGCAAAACGCACATACTCGTTGATTTCAAAAGGCATTTCAACCTGTAAATTAATAAAAAACATTTTTATAAATAGATAATATAAGTGTTTTCATATAACTAGAACCGACTAAGAAGGCATTGGGTCAATTTGGTAACTAGTACATGGTGTTTAGATTTAAATGCTACCCAGAGGTAGCACATTTGAAATTTGCCAAAAACTAATGTGCTCTTTGTTTGTTCAGTAAAATTTGATATCAGCAGGTCTTTCACAAGTTGGTTTAGTTTTCTTGTACTTGGTTGGCCAATATTCTGTTTTTTTTTTGGGCCAGTATTCAACATATCGGTATCTAGGTACAAAATACGTGGAAAATTGCGCTACGGCAAATATGTATTTATTTGCAAGACTATCTAAGTTCACTAGGGTTTCTGTATACATTTAGTATCTGTATCTATCTATTAATAAAATAAATGCGTAATAATTTTATATAACTTTATAATGCTGCATCATTGAAATGAACTGTGTTCCAATGGTGCGAGAGCAGCTACTTTTTTAACAGTTCTTCTCTGCAAATTTCTGAAGTCCTCTATATCCATATTACTTGTTTCGATCGACATCCAAGCCACCGTATATTCTAAAATGTCCACAGCTGAAAAAATAGATAAAATTTAAAATAATATTCTATTAAAAAATAACAGAATTATAGTTGATAAAGACATGTTATAGATGAATTGTGGATTGCCTGAATGCTGAATTAAAATCATAATGAAACTTAAGTAAAAGTAGAGGTTTTGATTTGTGATTATTAAATATAGAAATTACTCACTTACTTATCAACTGATTTGCTGCCTCATTAACAACACATTGTTTAGCTGTCAATACCCAAAATGGTGTGAGCAAAGTTCCTCCACAAATGTGCAAATATTGATCACCTTCCAGTTTTCTTACTGACATCATAAAAGGATAATTTCTAATAGTTCCATTACCACCAATTAAACAAGAAACCAGACGCAAATAGCAGATTGAGGCGAAAAAGATCGCCAAAAATAACCGTGGGCTAGTCATTATTCACTATTATCAAAAGAAATTAAAAATGTTTGAAAATTGTGCAATTGGACACATCGTGTTTAAAGGTTACTGGGATTTTGTTGTTTTGTTTTCAGTCGGAACAAATTTACTTAAATTTAATAGTTAATTGAAATACATATTAATGATAAAAAAAAGAAAATCATTTGTGAAATTATTTCACAAAAATATAAATTTATAATAGACAGTATTGTACTTTTAATTTAAGTAATCAAGTGATTTTTTATATAAAATGTTTACACTTAATGTAAATATTTTTTTTATGTAGATATTGATTTTTCCTTCTCGAAAGAGTTTTTTTTCCATCGGAAAATCTGATTTGCTAATTTATGTTCTCGACGTTTTGTTAAATTTTAAAAATTGATTGCATCTCAAATTTAGAATAATAGGCCACGTTTCAAGAACATACAAACTCATGTTTGTTGAATATAGTTCAATATAATTTTGTTCAAACCTTTTCATTTTGTTCATTAGTAGTGCTATTGAATGAACCATGCACAATATATTAAGATATTTCAAATCAATAAAAATGTGTTGAAAAATTGAAAATTGCGCTTCTAGTAGACTAAACATCAAAATAATACTAGTTCAACTTACAGTGACAAAATCTTGAACAAAGACACAGAACATGTCGTCCATGGACGACATTCGTATACACATCTACTTATAGTCGAATGGATTTTGTTCATGGACGACACTTGCATCAATATTGATTAGCTATAAGTTGCAGTGGATGTCATCTTCTAATCTAAAAATTCACACATATAATGTCTTTGATAAACTGTAATTTATAATTTATAAGTATTACATTTCATATTTATTTTCTAAATTTGTTGATCAATTGTAGATCCACTGATCGCTAACTAAAATTTAAACATATGTAAAAGAATTTCGAAGTATTTTTGGAATTTATGATATATATCCTTCTAAATATATGTTTCTAAAATACCTATATGATTCTATATGTGTATATTTCTCAATTCATATTATTAAATATCCTGATGTCCGGTTTTCGTTTCAGTTTCCGTTGCAAGTGTCGAGAGTTCGCAATGACGCCAAACGGAAGCCGTGCCATCTGTTCCGCCCATTCCAGCCACGTGTTTGCCTTAAGATGCCTGCTCGTCTTCTATCTGATACAACAAGGTAAGTGCCGAGAGATTTAACACCTTCGGGAACTGTTTCGTTATATTTACTGTAGACATAGATTCTTTTGTGTAAGGTTTTTGTAATATCTGGTATAAACGGAAAATTAAATTTATGAATGAGTTCAAATTATTCAAACTTTTTGGGCCAAAGGTAGATAATCGGCAAAAAAGGCTATTGCCAAGAAAGTATTGAATGAGTTTTGAAAATTGGTAGTCTTTAGATTTTGATGTGCTCTTTACGACTTTAAACTTTGTCACCTAGAATGTTTGCCGTTCGCGCCGCCATATTGGAAAAATGGCGTCAAAAAACTTTTTTCATCAATATCTCCTTTCCTCATCATTCTACGATAAAAGTATATACATATATACAAATTAAACCAGAGAAAAATTCCTGTATTTCTTTCGTTCACCAGTTTTTTGTAAAATCTATAGTTTTAACGTACGAGCACCTCAAAGTTGAGGTTGCAAAGTTTAAATTCGTGAAGAGCATTCGAAATCTACAAGACCACAAATTTTCAAAACTTTTCTCAAAATCTTTCAGGCAAAACTGAAAAAACCAAATGCCTGGACTATTATTATCAAGCGTAACTCTTGCCATTATATTGAAGATGTTATTTATATTACACAGAATGTCTTGTTCAAGTAGAACAGCAACGAAGGCAGTAATGTCACCTCTTATTTAAGGAATAGAGTAATTTGTTCTATGTATAACAAGAATTATTACCGTAATACGGTCGAGTTGAATTCATTGCAAATGTTATTATAGCCAGAGACGTTGCAATTAATTATGAGATGTAAGAACGCACTTAAAGGTATTGCACGATGCACCATCATGAGATAGAAATTATAGTCTATGCAATTTTTATAATTATTTGAAAAATAACGAGCAGATATTTATACTTGAAATAAGTCATAACTAAGCCGGAATTAATTGCAGTTTTTATTTGAAACTGCACATCTGCAAGGAATCAGATATTGGACAAAAACCAGTACAAAAATATACTTTATTACAAATTTATGCTTGCAATCATAACTACAATTTTTTATAATTGGAACTATTTTATATTGCAAAACTAAACTGGTTTGTGAGAAAACTGTCAAAATGCCAATTAGTGTTTAAAAAATTCAATTAGTATTAGTATCAATTTATATGAAGAAGGAAGCGTAACAAAGCGTTGCCATGACAACCCTCTGTTACCGTCTACTTTATCAGAGAATTAAAACCCATATATAACACACTTTAACATTTTATCAAATATCCTTTGAATCTATACGACAAGTATTTTTCTATTTTATTTGTAATAAATTTAATTGCGTTATTCGAGATACATATATTTCTACCTATAAGCGTGATTAAATTTTTCTTTGAGAGCGATCGTTATAAAATTTCAAATGTATTTACGAAGTTCAAGCAATGCACAGTTATTCACGGCACATCAATAACTTCTCAATTTATAATAAATTGCAGGTGCAGTTTCAAAAGATATATTTTCTAGCAAATTGGAATCGATATCGTATTTTATTTCGCGGACATAGCATATCCTGTACGTGTGTACATAGGTAATAGATACAGAGCTTGTGATAAAGGAAAAAATACATAATATAAAATCATTTTTAATATAACTATTATTTGACTAGCAATCAAACCTGTTCTCAGTGTTTTATGAACTTTTGTTAAGTATTTACTAGCCCAACTTTACTAGAAAGCATCCCAATTATAGTTCATGCTTGTACAGAGTACATAAAATAAGTTTGTTTTTTTTTTTACAAAAATTTCGAATTAAAATCCTTTAGAATCGACATCAAAACATGAATTTATGTATATCTAGAGCAGCAGTTTCTTTAGAATTTCTTGGAAAGTGCAAAATATATGGTCCTTGTTTCACAAAAACCCAGAACCGATTTTGAAAACCTAGATACCAGTTGGTCATGGTGCTGATTAGTTGTTTGGTAATGAACCTTCGGAGCTATTTCTTGGTAACTGGTTTAAATAATATTTCAATTTCATATTCTACTATTATTTCCACCGACTTCGTTCCTATTTCATTTAATATTTGAGATTGTGTTGGTCGAGATCCTGCATGTCCTGAAGTGCCGGCGAAGTCGGACGATGAAATCTAACGAGAATCCAGTTTCTTTCACGGCTTACTCAATAAATGTTAGAAACGATTATTGTATAAATGAGAAAGTGAGAAATGTATTTTCTAATATTTTCTAGAATAAACAACTATTCTCGGTTCATACGTTTGTAATTGGATATGCTAGTCGATATGTAATAAAAATGATTCGAGTTGTGGGAACTCCATATTTGTAATTTAAGATTAAAGTATATACATATAGTTATAGTATTAGTATAATCGCAAAAAAATCAAAAATGAATTTATAGTTTTAGAGTTTTTGAGATAGTAGCACATTCTATTACAATAATTCAACAAACATTTGATTTGTTTTAATTTTTTGAGTGAATCGCCTAGTTCTCGACTCATTTTAAATCAGTAAGAAATGTAGTTACATCATGAAAAATGTACGTACGATTTTAAATCTTCGAACAGCACATTTAATCTCCAGTAAAGCGAACAAAATGAACTCTGTCTATTCTATTTCCTAGATGAACTTTTTTATAACTATTACCAGTTTCGACATTCATAAAAATCTCTTCAGTAAGTGCTCTCGAACGTTCATAAAATACATAATCCTTAAACGCGAATTTTCTATATGGTGGCAGCGGTGGGAGAGTAAAGAGAAATGACAATAATGCGCCTATTTGTGATCCGTTTCGTATCGACAGATTGAAAGATATAAATAAGCGTTTTCTCTGCCATTTTCTTTTGCATACGCTTTTCGCAAATTTCCTTTTTACTACCAGAAACTGTACTATTAGTAGGGGAGCAAGAGGACAGAAGAATTTTTAATAGAACCCGTTAAAACTATCCCGCTTAATACGATTTGGGGTCTTTTGCATGTCCATCTTTGAAAATAGAGCTTTTAATGGTCTAGATCACTACGGGTATTTTTAGGTTATTGTGGATCATGCGGTTAGTCGTCACAACCATGGAGCGCTGCTGATCATTCTTAGTATAATGATCAATTAGCTGGGAGTTTTACTGAACATAGTCAGAAGTTGTTTGTTTCATGTGCGTAATTTGGTTTGATATGAATGTATTCGTTTTTACAATATAATTGCTCAAAGTCAAATTAGACCTTGGTACTCTTCAAATGGTACCCTTCAAATGGTGGCCGCTGAATGACCCTTGCCTACAAAAATACTCTATTTTTTCATTTAAATTTCAAATATGTCTTTTACTACCAGCTTGTGTACTACAAAGTCTTTTCGAATTGTTTATAACTGCTCGCCGAATGATTTCTTAACGATAAGCGCGCAGTATTAGTCCCAACTAAACTGGAGCTTTCAGTTAAGAACAGAGACCGAGAGACGGAGAGTAGAGTTCGCTATTCGTATGTGCATAAAGCTTCGGGGTTTACTGACGATTTGATGGCTTTTTAATAGACTGCCGCAAATGGTGTTTTCCCTTTTGCCCTCTGCGTTCCGAGCCGATCTGTGTTTTCCGGAAAAACGCTAGAAAAACTTATTCTACGATTCTGGAGCGCGCGTTCGTTAAGTTTTAGTGGGTGCATCTGCCGGGGAACGAAATCAACGGACGTAATTTGCTTTCGATACGGTTGCCAATTTATAGTACGATAAATTTTACTGTCCTTTTATAATTGATTAAAATATACATTAAAAAGACGATTTTTATTACCAAAGATTTCAACAAAATTATTCTCTAATGTAAAATAAATTCGAGTTCAAAAAAGTGTCCGAAAGTATTAAATCCGACTCGTAGCGACGATTTCTGCTGATATCTTATTCATTTTTTCCCAGCGGTTTTGTAAAGTTTTTAGCTCCGTCTCGAGTATTATGATTTAAACACAATTTAAATACAACTCGGAGAATTTAATTACGAATGTAATTAATTCCCGGATTTCGTTCGTGGTTTAAAGCTCATTGGTTTTAGCATTAAAATATATGTCGACGAGACATTTCGAATTCGAAACTTACATGAGATTTAAAAAAAATTAAATGTCAGAATATGAGCTATATTTGATGGCCAGGGCTTAAGTTGATTATGTATCCGTGATACTAAAATAGACCAACAAACCAATTAAATTTATTCGTCATTCAACAATTGATTACAGCAAATGTTGAATGTTAAACTTTATGGTATTATAGAGCTTTATGGTATTATTATTTTAAACTAATTAAATTTTTTTATTGCTTAATATTTATCTATGTCCAAGAATTATAATTTTTATCATCGTGTAAAACATATTTATAACTAATTATTATTTTTGTAGATTCACGATTTTGAATAAAAATTACACGAATATTGTCAAAAGTTACAGCAATTAATTGTTTTATGTTTTATGCCTCTAATTTTAAACCAGTGAAATTTTTATTGCTACAGTACTTTCAAGACAACGATAATAGTAAAATGGTGAATTCGAACAAATCCATTAAAACATCTACTATAATCTATTTTAAATCTCAGGTAATGCCAAGCAAAATTTTGTTATTTTGACCGTCACCAATGTAGATAAGTCTAAAAGCTTCCGGAACCGGAGGACTCCGGAACCTTTTTAGCTAGATAATCATTTAATTAGAACTTAATACCCTTCAGAACGAATAGCACTTTTCCAACTTTGCTTTTCTGTTTTAGCAACATACCACAGAAACACTCGTAATAAAAAATTCTACTATTATATATATATATATATATATATATATATATATATATATATATATATATGGTGATTGATGTTGCAGAAAAATATTATTAAAAGTGAAGATTTTACAACGTCAGAAAATGCTGTGTAACTGGGTATAATATCGTGAGCAGTTATAATAACTGACAAGCTTCGTGTAAAGTTGACGCTGTAAGAACAAAATGTGCTGAAGTAATGATACTTTGAAACTATGTTTTAAATAAAAGCTCTAAA